ATTGTGTATATATGTAAAAATGTGTATATATGTAAATGTATAAGTGTGTCTATATATATATATGTATATAATTATGTATGTAGATGTATATTTGTATATATGTATATGTATATAATTGTGTATAGATATAAAAGTGTATATATATATATGTATATGTAATTTTCTATTTTATTTTTAAAAAATAAAATTTGAAATTCTGTATTTTTATTTTATTTTATTATTTTTTAAAAAAATTCTAGAAATTTTTTATTTTTATTTACTTTCTGACGTGGCTGGATGATGTGGCGAAATGTGTTGATTTGGTGAAATCGGTATGACGTGGCATGCCATATCAGCATTAAAATTGATGGAACTTAACGTCGTTTACGGATATGGGGGAAATTGCAACACATTTTAAGATTTTGTGTGGGAATTTGGAAATATTTGAAATCTGGTGTAGTTTTTTGTCAAATTAAAAATTGGTGTAAGAAATTGGAACTTTTTCAAAAATTTGTGGGGGAATATGGGATTATCCCTATTTTTAAATAAAAAAGTAATTTATTATTAAAATAATATTAAATATTAAAAAAACTATATTTTTGTCTTTTTCATCAAACGACACGAGATGCTATATATTAAAATGCGGGTATAAAATTGCGATTAAAAATTTTGCATTTTGTTACCGTTGCGATTGAATCCGCCGATTCTCTAAACGGACGCAACAATCGAAAATCGCAACCACTCTATTTGTATAGGGTAACGGCGCAACCTAATTTTCTCTGTGGACACACAACACAAGAACATTAGAAAGAAAACAAAGAGATACAAAGAGGTCACACTTCGGCCATTGTAGGATCCATCTCATGCACATGCACACAACTATTCCAAACTCGATCAAAACACAAACCCCTTGTTATTGAAATCACAATTGATCTACTTCAAATGATTGGAAATCTCTTTCTTAGGCTTCTTTTTCACCATTTTTGGGCTAAGACACGTAAGCAACAACGACGGATTGAACGTCGTTTATGTCTCGTATCTCGTAACGGGCGAATCCAGCTGCGGTAAGGACATGATCCCACTCCTCCGATGTCCGCTCTCTGCCTCTGGTCGTATGAGCCATCATCACCATGTCCAGCATCAACCTCGCATACTCTAACATGTCGCCCTTCTTCTTCTCTCCCACCACAGCTTCCACTATTACCACCTTCCCTTCCTCCTTGGGGATCGCTTCTCTGCATTTCTTCAGTATCTTTACGCACTCCTTATCCCCCCAGTCATGCAACACCCACTGCCACCATGCATTAATTAAGATCTTTTTTCATAATAACCAACTATATATATATATATATATATATGACCGATCGATGCCATTAAAGCTCAAGGTACATTAGATTGATTACACTGACTCAACCCATTAATATGTGGTGTGGTCGGTAATTAAATCTAACATGCATGGCATTTATAATATTTGTCTGGCCAACGTATCATGCATGGCCTATCATCTTCTGAAGAACATGGCATTTATGTTTTTGCTGTCATGAACATACATATGACCACACAACTCAAGTGGCAGATCCAGCTTTTCATTGTTGGGGTGGAGGGGGAACCATATACAAAAATTACTACAAATAGAAAGCAAATATATCTCGACCTAATTACACTCACTATCTCTACTAATGTCTTGAAGATGATCAATGATATTGACCTTAATTTTTTAATTTCACAAAATCCCTAACCCTTGTTTCTCAGATATTCTCTTAATTTATTATTATTTTTTGGGAAAAAACACTAAAAATTCATGAACTTGTAATTTGGAGTAATATTAATTTCTAAATTTGTAGAGGTGCCTATTAATTCCCAAACTTGCAAAATTGAACATATTAAATCCGGAACTTGTTAAACGGTTCCATAATCGTCTATAGCGTTATTTGGTAAAAAAAAACGAATTGACCGATCCGACGTGGCGGTAATTTTCTGAGTTTGCTCGCCACGTCACGCGCCACGTCGGATCGGTCAACTTATTTTTTTGACCAAATAACGTTATGGACGATTATAGAACCGTTTAAAAGTTCAGGATTTAATGTGTTCAATTTTGCAAGTTTGGAAATTAATAGGCACATCTACAAGTTTAGGAATTAATATTATTCCAAAATACAAGTTCAAGAATTTTTAGGGGTTTTTAGCTTATTTTTTTTTATCGATTTTGGTTACTTCAAACAAAGTTGTCATTTGCATATTCTTTGATAATATAAGATCGATGTCTAAAACGAAACAATGATAATTAATTAGTTGTAGTTTCGCCTCTCATGAAGACCAAAAACCATTTGCCTTATGCATGTTATTAATTGTATTTTGTTTTTATGTTATAGTATTACTATATTTTAGGCCATATGTTAATATGTAGTGCTATATATATATTTTTTTATGACACAATAATTTTTTGATTGGATTATAACACAATATTTTCTATCTTTAAAGTATCTTGCCCCACAAAAATTTATAGATTCCGTATTAATGGTGTGTGTATATATATATATATTTAAGCAACGGAGTTAATGACGCTAGTAACCTTGATGAAGACAACGTCGGCATTAGGAACAGACTCAAACATGTCACCACCAACGTTCTCAACGCCGTCGAACTTCTCCGCAGCTTCCACGACATGAGGGAGATCAAAGTTCAAGCCTTTTACCCACGGAAACGCCTTGACCAGTATACCCAATGCCTCACCGTTTCCACCGCCGACGTCAACCACCGTCGACGCGCCGTTAAACACGTCCGCGCACGCGCCGGCCACCGCAGGCACCATTCGCCTCGAGTCGCATGCCATCGCCTGGTTGATGATCTCGCTGTGGCCGGGATTCTCCGTCGCGTAAGCCCACACGTTCTTTCCGTGAGCCGCGTCGAACGGAGGAGAACCCTCGCCGGACACGGCCGAGACTACGGAGCTCAGGTTCAGCCATGGCGCCAGCATCACGGGGGTGGTCTCGAGGAGGATAAAAAGAGCCATTGATTTGCTCATCATGAGGCGAGAGAGAGGTGTGTTTAAGTATCCGACAATGCCATCTTTGGTAAGAACTTCTTTGAAGATGCCACGGTGGGCAAGAAACCTCATGATGCGGCGGAGGAGCGGCAGAGGAGAGGAAGAGACGGCGGTGGAGAGATCTGCTAGAGTGACGGGCTGTGAGGTATGGTTCTCGATGGCTTCTGGAATCTTGAGATCGATCGCACACTTCACCACGGCCATGTCCGTGAAACCGAAACACGTATCTCCATATCTCTGTCGAAGCTTTGGCTTCTTCGTCTTCTTCCTCGTAAACCCTATTTCGCAGCGTTTTGCCGTTTTCTTGCATTTTTCTTTTATTTCTTTGGTAGAATTGGGAAATGCAAAAGGTTGTTGTCACTTGGTGTTGGGAATGAGTGAGATGTGCTTGATAGGGTTTTAGGGTTTTTATAATGGGAAGACATACTCCCTCCGTTTTCATGTTATTTTTTTAAAATTTCCAATTTTATCCTTGATTTTAATGCTCAACTTGACTAGAGTATTAATGAGAAGATAAATTAATGAGGATATTTCTTGGACATAAAAGTAACGGCCGGTTTGATAATTTCAGCTAGCTGGTATTAAAGAATTTAAATTATAACACCAAAATTATCATATTGGAATAGGAAGCAAAAAAAAAAGGAATAAAAATTTTTTTTTCCAGAAAAATAGAGAATTTTAGTCAAAACCAAATTGGATGAAAATCTGAATCTAATTAAAACTGGAAAGAAAAATAAAATGAGTATAATTTAAAAAACGCCAGAACATAACTTAATTTAATTGAAATATCCGAAATATCTTTACGAGAGATCTCACTTATAAAATGTTTAAAATAATTCAGATTTGTATCAGAGCCTTATTTATTATTTCCATTGGTATTTTTTGTGTGCACTAATTGCCACCGTTGACCTCTCGTTTTAGGTTAGAAATATGGACAACGGAAATACTTTGTGGTTGTGAGTTTAAGTTTTGACTTTCTCGTCTAAAATAAAACAACCAAGAAAAAAAAACAATAATTAAGATAAACAAAAATATATGATATATGAAGCATACATTTTCTTTTTAACCTTGAAAAATATTATTAATTTATTTTTGGAAACTAATATATTTTAAAAAATCTATAGTTAAATCCGAAGAGGATAAAAATGAATTTAAATTTTAATAATAAAGTTTATCAAAATTATGGAAAAAAGGTATTAATTTACTATAATCCTATATATAAAAAATATGTCATTTTTAAGTGTTTTATAATCCAATGAAAAATATGGATACATCTTATTATTATATACAATAAACTAAAGTCTATAATTCATCTATGTCAAAAACATGTTATCTCCCATGGTGCAGGTCACGTATTCGCAATTTTAAAGATATTTCGTTTTCGTCTTCATAGATAGAAATATTATCTCTGTTTTTATCTCATAACAACTATATATCCGTAGATAAAATATTCGTAATTGAGAGACAGATACCCGCGATTATTCATATATGTGTAAACAAAGATTTTAAATCTAACAATAAATCAAATATTCAACAAAATTATAAACTTTTTAATCCAAAAATACATTTAAAATCTGAATTCTTAAAATATAAAAATATACATAGATTCCTAGAAATTTTTTCAAAGATACAAATGGATTTTGAAGTTCAAATATCAAAATCTTGAAAATCCAATGTTTATATAAGAAAATCTGTAATTTGTTACTAAGCTAACATTGATTTCATTCTAATTATAAAGCCATATATATTGTCAATATAAATATGAACATGTATAATACTTACCTCTCAAGACTAATCTCATTCGGAATAACCCTTTTTCAAAGTTGAAGATGGATAGTCTGTAAAATTAAACATTTAATTAGCTAAAAACGTGTTGAGTATTAATTAGAAGTATTCAATTTTGAAAAAATAGTTGTTCGGAGTTTAGGGTTACGAAATTTATTTTGAAATTATTGTGTATCTAAGTATTTGGATATTTGTGGATAGAGTGCAGGCGATGACAAGAACCAAGGTAAGGGACATACGTATCCGAGGGTGAGATTATATGTGCCAAGGGCCGAGCGAAAAATTTAATGATAAGTTGGGTAAAAATTTTAATGATATTTTCAAAATTTTGCAAAATATCATAGATATTTTTTTAAAAATTTTATATGTATTCGGGTACCCAAGAATATTCGAGAATGTAAACCCGAATATATAGATAATGTATGAGCATTATATAAAAAATACCCTTACTTTCATATTTTTATTTCAACACATATCTTTCTTTATCTATGAACATGTGACCTATATGATCCTAAATATAGTGTGGTATACACTACAAAAAAACAGTCTTTTAGCAGCGAAAATTTTTCGTTGCAAACCTACAAATTTCGTTGCAAAACAGTGTTTGCAACGAAATTGCAACGAAAAAATTTTCGTTGCTAACTCATCGTTGCAAACCAATATAGCGTTTCAATTCGTTGCAAATTGTAACGCTTTGCAACGAAATATTTTCGTTGCTATTTGCAAAGCAATTATTTCGTTGCAAAAGCGTTGCAACGCTTTTGCAACGAAAAAAATGAATTGCTAATTTTGCAACGAAATTGCGTTGCAAAATTAGCAACTCAATTTCGTTGCTAAAATTAATATACAAATAAAAAAATAATAATTTAGAATTTCAGATTTTTTAGAAGAATTAAATTAAAATTTAAAAAATAATTAATTAAAAAAATATTAATAAAATATAAAATAATATAGATATTAAATAAAGATAATAAATATATATATATATATATATATTTGTAGAATTATAAAGTTTATTTAAAAGTTATAAATTAATGTTTATAAATAAATAATTAACAAAATAATAAAATAAATATTTAATAAAAATAATAAATATATTTTTATTTGATTTTTTTTTAAGAGTTGGGGATAGAGAGAGATTTTAGATAAGGCTTAGAGTGAGAAATTGTTGATGAATTGTGTTTGGATGTTGAATATATAGAAAAACATTGCAACGCAATTTCGTTGCAAATTTGCAACGAAATTGCGTTGCAAATCCAATTAGCAACGAAAATTCGTTGCAAAATGCGTGAAAACCATAATTAATCGCAGCCACAAATTTATTTTAAATTTGCAACGCAATTTCGTTGCTAATTGGATTTGCAACGCAATTTCATTGTAAATTTGCAACGAAATTGCGTTGCAAAACCAAATAGTAACGAAATTGCGTTGCAAATTTATATATTTACTTTTAGACGGTCAAATCATATTAATTATTAAATAATAATTTTTGCGACGAAATTATTTCATTGCAAAGCGTTGCAAAAGAAAATTCGTTGCTAATCGTTGTTGATTTATTTTACAACGATTTTGCAACGCTTTGCAACGCAAATATTGCGTTGCAAATTAGCAACGAAATTATTGCGTTGCAAAGCGTTGCTAATTGCAATAAAAAATTTTGCAACGATTTTGCAACGCTTTAGCAACGAAAAATTTCGTTGCAAATTTGCAACGCAATTTTTCGTTGCTAAAGCGTTGCAAAATCGTTTTCATTAAAAAACGTTGCAATTTTGTTGCTAACTTTGCAACGAAATGCATTTCGTTGCTAATTTCGTTGCTAATGACATGTTTTTTTGTAGTGATATTTTGATTTTCTTGGTTATAACATTAAATTTATGGTGATCACACTAATTCATTATATTGATACCTTGTATATCTTACTAATCATTTGATTAAAACATCATAAATCTAACATTATGAGTAATGAGATCAACATGTGACTATATTATTTTTGGGGTCATATATGGGTCACATGGTTACAGATAGGGGTGGACATTTTTACCCGAGACCCGCGGGTTTCCGGGTACTCTATCTCGCGGGTACTCGAAATTCATTATCCGTGAGATAATGAGATACAGATCAGGTTTCGTGAGATAGAAAACCCGAGTTTCGGGTTCGGGTTCGAGTTTAATAATTTCACCACGGGTTATCTCGCGGGTACTGGGAAATTAGAAAATTACAAAAATACCCTTATTATTTAATACACTTACAAAAATAACCCTAACCCTAATTTACTAACGAAGAGCCCTCCTCTGTCACTTTGTCTCTCTCTCATTTGGGTTTTGCGGCCTCGTTTCTGCAGAAGCAAAATCGATAGCTTCGTCTCTCCAATCTCCACCACCGTGTTCGTCGTTCGCCGTTCACCGTGTTTGTTGTTTGCGTTCGGTCTCTCCTTCTCCGCCTTGCGAGCCTCTTTCTCCTCCTCGCGTGTCTCTGTCCGGTGTGTTTGTTTGCTGTCTTTGTTCGTCATTTGCTTGCTGCCTCTCTTCGCCGTAGATTCAAGTACTTTTGCGTGTTGGTCTCGTCCCTTTCTCTCTCTGTCTCTCTCAATCGGTTCTCTGTTCGTCGTTCGCTTGCTGCCTTCGGTCTCTCCTTTTTCTCTCAATCGATTCTCTGTTCGTTGTTCGCTTCGCTTGCTACACGAGTTCGGGTTCGGGTCTCGCGGATACCCGAACTCGTATCTCGGGTATCCGAATCTCGGGTACCCGGGCTTCGCGAGATAGAGATCGAGACATTTTAATCAAAAACCCGACGAGACCGAGATCAAGATAAGGATACCCTAAAAAATCCGGGTACCCGCCCGTGCCCACCCCTAGTTACAAATAGAGAATGATATGTGTTGAAATAAAAATAGTAAAATAAGGGTATTTTTTATAACGAGGCTATGTTGCATTTTTAAAGTTTAAAACTCAGATTTCTCATCAAATATTAAAAAAAAACAGGTATTTTTCTACGATAGACATAAAGTTCTACCCGGGGCCGGGGCATGTGACGATTGAATAAAATCGTATAATTAATTGTAATTGGTTGCGCAAACGATCAAGTTGTAGAAAAAGCTATTACCATACCAATATATATATATATATACGTGTTATGACGCACCAACTTTATAAAAATATATATAATCAACAGACACAAATATCAGACTTCAAGTCCCAAGTGTGGGAGAAAGACACTGACTGGGAGAGAGGGTGTCGGGACTTTCTCTCTTCCTCTCTTCGTTTGAAGTATTCATACTCGAAAAGATCTATCCATCTCGAAGTCGTTGTTTGGATCTGAGTTTTTTTTAATATCCTAAGGGTACGAGCGGTTGAGGATACCCGTGTTTTTAGTATAATTATTGGCGGTTGTGGGCGGTTAGTAGTTGATAAAATTGTGGTTAACAGCGGATGGTAGGGATTGCAATTAGAGGTGAACGATTAATTGATTATAGTTGCGGTTACGATTTGATACAAATTATATAAAAATATAATTTTAATATATATTTTTAAATAATTTTAATTAATTTTATTATCATTTGATAAAAGAACTATTCACTAAATTTATAAAAAATAATTTAGTAAAAAAATTAAAATATAAATTTTGTCAATTTTAATTTATTTTTAAATAAAAAAGTAATTTATTATTAAAATAATATTAAATATTAAAAAAAACTATATTTTTGTCTTTTTCATCAAACGGCACGAGATGCTATATATTAAAATGCGGGTATAAAATTGCGATTAAAAATTTTGCATTTTGTTACCGTTGCGATTGAATCCGCCGATTCTCTAAACGGACGCAACAATCGAAAATCGCAACCACTCTATTTGTATAGGGTAACGGCGCAACCTAATTTTCTCTGTGGACACACAACACAAGAACATTAGAAAGAAAACAAAGAGATGCAAAGAGGTCACACTTCGGCCATTGTAGGATCCATCTCATGCACATGCACGCAACTATTCCAAACTCGATCAAAACACAAACCCCTTGTTATTGAAATCACAATTGATCTACTTCAAATGAAATGATTGGAAATCTCTTTCTTAGGCTTCTTTTTCACCATTTTTGGGCTAAGACACGTAAGCAACAACGACGGATTGAACGTCGTTTATGTCTCGTATCTCGTAACGGGCGAATCCAGCTGCGGTAAGGACATGATCCCACTCCTCCGATGTTCGCTCTCTGCCTCTGGTCGTATGAGCCATCATCACCATGTCCAGCATCAGCCTCGCATACTCTAACCTGTCGCCCTTCTTCTTCTCTCCCACCACAGCTTCCACTATTACCACCTTCCCTTCCTCCTTGGGGATCGCTTCTCTGCATTTCTTCAGTATCTTTACGTACTCCTCATCCCCCCAGTCATGCAACACCCACTGCCACCATGCATTAATTAAGATCCTTTTTCATAATAACCAACTATATATATATATATATATGTATATGACCGATCGATGCCATTAAAGCTCAAGGTACATTAGATTGATTACATTGACTCAACCCATTAATATGTGGTGTGGTCGGTAATTAAATCTAACATGCATGGTTTATAATATTTGTCTGGCCAACGTATCATGCATGGCCTATCATCTTCTGAAGAACATGGCATTTATGTTTTTGCTGTCATGAACATACATGACCACATAACTCAAGTGGCAGATCCAGCTTTTCATTTTTGGGGGTGGAGGGGGGACCATATACAAAAATTACTACAAATAGAAAGCAAATATATATGCGACCTAATCACACTCACTATCTCTACTAATGTCTTGAAGATGATCAATGATATTGACCTTAATTTTTTAATTTCACAAAATCCCTAACCCTTGTTTCTCAGATATTCTCTTAATTTATTGTTTTTTGTTGATCGATTTTGGTTACTTCAAACAAAGTTTTCATTTGCATATTCTTTGATAATATAAGATTGATGTCTATGTTAAGGATGTTTTTGCAGGAAGTTGAGGTTGTTGACTCAGGTGAATCTGAGTAAATCTGAGAAGATTCTAAAAGGAGATATTCATGGAAGAGATAAGGATGAAATCTTGATGTTAAAAACTACTGAAAAAGAACTTCTGGAAATATAGATGATCTTGAGGAAGCAAACTCAGAGATGTCAGATACTTCGCTCTCAAATTCGCGGACTCCTGGCGGAAAACAAGAGTAATGGGTTACTCTGATGTTTCACCTTCTGTTCAACACATGCCAGGTAAATTCTGACCTTGATTTTGAATTTTAACTCATGCACAGGGGGAGAAGTCTCAGCTAGTCATAACAATGAAGAGGACGAAGAAGATGAAGAAGAGGAACTCAACTCAGCAGCTAAGGCAAGCACGTCTAAGCAAAGGATCCTAGCAGAGAACAGTGATGCTGAGAAGACAGTTTCGAACTAAAAGTCAAAGTTCCCTGACTAGCGTCTATGTAGGGTGTTTGTGTGAACCTTTTTTAACCTTTTTGCTGACCCGAGAATTTAATATGATGTTTTAATGGTTCTCTTTCTCTAATCGTGAAGATTGAGTGCATGAGTTGAAAAATCCAAAATGGGAAAGATTTTAAGGTTGTTTTTGTAGGAAGTTGAGGTTGTTGACGTAGGTGAATCTGAGTAAATCTGAGAAGATTCTAAAGGGAGATATTCATGGAAGAGATAAGGATGGAATCTTGAAGATAGAGTTGGCCAACAACTTTGGAGAAGAAGATAAAATCAAATCAACAAACAATCGGAGCTGGAGATGAAGTTATATAAGGACGATAAGGAAGAGCAGAAAAGGCAGAGCTTAAGAGAATACAATTTAGAGAGTGCAATAGTCTTTTGTTCTTTACGGTTTTAATTCTGGTGAGTGAGATTATTCTGAGGGGGAGTTCTCAACAGTAATCTGAAAAAACCCAGAACGAGAGAGTGAGGATTCACACAAGTTGTGTGTTGAATCAGTAGATTTTATGTCATAGGAGGGCTAACACTCAAGGGTAGTGTGGTGCGTCTGGGTTTTACTGCAACTATCTCTTTGTTGTAGTAGTCAGATTTCCTTGAATGAAAAGAACTGATTTTGAGTGATTTATGAGTGCGTTGTTAAGTATTTCAGTCTACAAACGAAACAATGATAATTAATTAGTTGTAGTTTCACCTCTCATGAAGACCAGAAACCATTTGCCTTATGCATGTTATTAATTGTATTTTGTTTTTATGTTATAGTATTACTATATTTTAGGCCATATGTTAATATGTAGTGCTATATATATATTTTTTTATGACACAATAATTTTTTGATTGGATTATAACACAATATTTTCTATCTTTAAAGTATCTTGCCCCACAAAAATTTATAGATTCCGTATTAATGGTGTGTGTATATATATATATATATTTAAGCAACGGAGTTAATGACGCTAGTAACCTTGATGAAGACAACGTCGGCATTAGGAACAGAGTCAAACATGTCACCACCAACGTTCTCAACGCCGTCGAACTTCTCCGCAGCTTCCACGACATGAGGGAGATCAAAGTTCAAGCCTTTTACCCACGGAAACGCCTTCACCAGTATACCCAATGCTTCACCGTTTCCACCGCCGACGTCAACCACCGTCGACGCGCCGTTAAACACGTCCGCGCACGCGCCGGCCACCGCAGGCACCACTCGCCTCGCGTCGCATGCCATCGCCTGGTTGATGATCTCGCTGTGGCCGGGATTCTCCGCCGCGTAAGCCCACACGTCCTTTCCGTGAGCCGCGTCGAACGGAGGAGAACCCTCGCCGGACACGGCCGAGACGACGGAGCTCAGGTTCAGCCATGGCGCCAGCATCACGGGGGTGGTCTCGAGGAGGATAAAAGGAGCCATTGATTTGCTCATCATGAGGCGAGAGAGAGGTGTGTTTAAGTATCCGACAATGCCATCTTTGGTAAGAACTTCTTTGAAGATGCCACGGTGGGCAAGAAACCTCATGATGCGGCGGAGGAGCGGCGGAGGCGACGAAGAGACGGCGGTGGAGAGATCTGCTAGAGTGACGGGCTGTGAGGTATGGTTCTCAATGGCTTCTGGAATCTTGAGATCGATCGCACACTTCACCACGGCCATGTCCGTGAAACCGAACACGTATCTCCATATCTCTGTCGAAGCTTTGGCTTCTTCGTCTTCTTCCTCGTAAACCCTATTTCGCAGCGTTTTGCCGTTTTCTTGCATTTTTTCTTTTATTTCTTTGGTAGAATTGGGAAATGCAAAAGGTGCCACTTGGTTTTGGGAATGAGTGAGATGTGCTTGATAGGTTTTTAGGGTTTTTATAATGGGAAGACATACTCCCTCCGTTTTCATATTATTTTTTTTAAATTTCCAATTTTATCCTTGATTTTAATGCTCAACTTGACTAGAGTATTAATTAGATTATAAATTAATGAGGACATGTATATATGATTTTTTATAATTCTTTAAAAAGTGTGAAAAAAATACAATCATGGAGTCTTAGAACAATTTAAAGCCCGACATGATGATTAATTCTAGGACAGACTTTTATTGTTTTGGTCGATTGATTCGATTCCCAAATTGACCGTTTGATAATTATATTAGTAATAAAAAAAGAAATTAATTAGAAAATCGTAATGCCACCTGGAACTTTTAAGACGTTAAATCATACAAATATCGTAGTCTCGTCGAATATCTTGTTTTCATATAAAATGCTTAACGGTCTGACAAAACAGTGAATTTCCAATATTTAGTAATTGCATATTTAAATGACATGTAATTGAATAACCGAGAAGACAACTTCTTAGCCTATGGGCTATAAATACATGAAACTAAAGAGACGAAGGGTATTTGTGTACATGGAATTTCTCATGTCCGAATCTTCAATCGATTACCATCAATCATGTAACTCGGTTCAAATTTCGTATGTCCCGTTAATTTAGTTTTTAAAAATCGTCGATTTATATATGTAATCCGATTCAAACAAAATGATATATTATTTGATTTTATTGAATTCGATCAGTCCTAAAGAACTTGATAATGACTAAATACAATACAAAGATATATTAACTCTTAGAGTATATACAAAAGCTTTATAATTATGTATTTAACAGTGGAATGAAGATCTATATATATAAAGGATTATATACACCAATACCTCAATCGGGCAATCTTACCCACCAAAAGTCTTAGTCGTCCATATATATATATATATATTTGGCACGGCACAATTATATTTTTAATATATAATTTCAAGCATTCTTAAAAAAATAAACACTTGCACCAATAAACAAATCCGACACTTTCCTTCAGGTTTATGCGATCATTGATGAGGTATCAAATCAGCACTTTAGTCGTTTATTTAAGGTTTTTTTAAGGTTTCACGCTATATTTAGTCGTTTTTTTCTTTCAATTTTTGTATCAAGATTTTATTACGTGTAGCTTTAGTTTAGACTGAATTTTCACTTGAAATAGTATATTTAAAACTCGGCTATTCATTCAATATTTATTTTGATTTCTTATAAAAATCGGATTAAATTAGAATTTAACAATTTGATTTAAGAAAAATTAGAAAGTGTAACGACCCGAAACCGCTACGAATTGTTGAAATTGCCCTCACACAGCAACCCGAGATCTTTCAGCGTGTTTTGTACTCACTCGCACGCATACCGAGACACTTCCCAATAGGTCACCCATCCTGAGATTGCTCCAGAGCCAGCACGCTTAACTTTGGAGTTCTTTCGGGATAGTCAACCAACAAGGTAGGTGCACCTTGTTGCTATGAGTAGCTCAACTAATTCTTTTATGTTATCTTAGACCGTATAGTCACATACCTATACAGCCCTTGGATCTCTCTCATTCCGGTGTGTTCGATTCATCCCTGTACCCCCTACCCAGAAGCTCATCAGGAGCCGTCCCTTGTCCGTGCCTCTGCACCGGCGATCACTCTCCGCCCTCCTACGGTACTCTGGGTTGTCACAGAAAGCGTATTAGATTCGGAGTCGAATGGATTTTTAGAGATAAAAAACTAAATAGTCTATACATGATTTAGTATTTATAATCAAAATAATATTGACCGACAAAACTAAGTGGGTTTAGTTTAACATTTTTCCTGCTTTTAGATTAAATATATAGCCATTAATGGTGAGGGCCGTCATCAAAGATTTGGCCTTTCACGATTCCTTGATTTTCGCAATGATAGTGATTGGGAAACCCTCTGTCTCGAGTGGCGGCCCACATCGTCGTGAATCTCGTGTTTTGAGTTTTGCTTTTTGAAGATTGTTGATTGTGTTGGGCCAATAAATATGGTTTGGTGAAATCTAATAGAGCCCACAAAAGGCTTATGGGCCATACCGACTCGCTAACGGCCCATACTAAGGCAAAACAAATGAACAAATCAAGTACAACATCGATTCTCGTTGAAGTCCAAGAATGCGACACGTGTGAAAAATGTTTGGTCCAATCTCGCTAGCCTAACAAATGGGGTTCGCAAATCAAATAAAATATTTTAAAAATATATTCAACTATAACTTTATATTTTGGAAAATCGAATATTATGAAGCCGAGTGGATTATTTATATGAAAATTTTAAATTTTATATACTTAGCCCTCATTTCTAATGTACTTTTATGCATATGCAGTAATAGATGAATAAAAAAATTATTTGATAATATTTCCTTTCTATTCCTCGGAATCTAATCGGAACGAATTGAAAAATTTAACTGAACCGTTTAAAATTCTTGGACCACGATACTTTAGAAAACTGAATATTATAAAACGAATCGAATATTAAAAATTTGAAAAAATAACATTTTTTTTATAAAAACCGAAATTAAAAGGAAATCAATATGAGATAACAACTAATTCGTATACATTGTTCAATAACCGAACGAATAACGAAATTCCCTTCCTAAAAAAAAATTGACCACAGATTCGCGATGGACCCCCCACGCATTTGTCTGTCTTTGGAGAAGACTTCTCAAGTCAAATCGCTTTTAAATAAATAGGAAGTCGGTCAACACTTTACTTTTTCATCCATAAAAGTAGGGCTGGGCGTTTCGGTTCGGTTCTTCGGAACCGGACCGAACCGAACCGTTAAAACGGTATTTTTCCCGACCCGAAACCGTTGTTATTTCCCGAACGGTACCATTTTTAGAGAACCGAATTTTCCCGGAACCGAACCGAACCGAACCGAACTTTAAAAATCTCGAAAAACCGAATATTTTTAAAGGAAATCTAACATTTTTTTTAATAAAACCCGGAACCGAACCGAACCGATACCGAAACCGAACCGAACCGAATACAATAAAAAACCCGATTGGTACCTATTTTTGTAAAACCGAAAGAACCGAACCGATCTATTCCGTCCCGAACCCGAACCGTTTCCCGAAATGCCCACCCCTACATAAAATGGCAGAATATTAAACTCCGATTTCATTGTGTAATATTTTGGCAAATAAATTTTAGTAAAATATTTCTCCACTTTAAACTATTATTTTGAAAGTGTGATAAACTATTCTTTTAAATAAATTCCAAATGGGCAATTAAAAGAGACTAATTACATAAATGATCACTTGTAGATTCTGATAAATGGAAGGACTAATATATAAAAATGGGTCTCAATGTCGTTATTACACATCATATAAAAAAAATATACAATCATATGTCGGTCCAAATTCTAATTAGAAATTCAGTTATGCAGAACATTTTGTTAAATAAAGACGGTATCTTGATCTCTTATCCAACCAATGCTCTAGAGAGAAAGCCAATTGGATTTAATAAATCATTGTGAGTTAGTTTTATACAAATATTTGAATGCATTTTTTATAAAATAAAATAATTTGTTTTGGCTGAACCGAGGAATAAACATTCTTCCTTCATCCAATATACACTTCGTGGAATATTTGAAAATTCCAATAAAAAACCTCTAGCTTTTATAATTTTGACAAATTAATCACTAAACTAAATTTTTGTCAAAAAAACTTCAACCGTTTCATTTTGTCCAAAAAATACATAAATTCCTAATTTTGATAAGGAAAAAAAATCTTTTTTTTTTTGGTAAGTAGAAAAAAAAAATCTTACGTGCTAACTTGACGAATTTTGGTCACATGAACCATGTATGGGGAAGTCTACAGTTGACTTCTTCCACATAGAAAAAAAACAAATAAATAAATATCAGTGGAGGAGACATCAAACTTGCAATGTAAGACTAAGAAACGAGGAGACAACAAAAAACTTACCACCACACATTGGAAAAAAAATTTCTAAATTGAATTATAAAAAAAATTAATTCTCAATTTTTTTATTTGATAAATTTAATTTCAAAGTTGTAAAATGTATCATTATAATTTCTAAACTTTTTAATTGGTGTTAGAAAAAAACTTAACAACGTTAATATACAAAATTAATTTGAAAATTATAATGATGTATTTTGTAAGTTTGATAATTATAAAGTTATATTTTGTAAGTTTAGAAATAAATTTATGAACTGAAAAGTTTAATAATTAGTTTTTCACTATTTTATAAATTCAGAAATTTTAATGGATTTTACAAAAATAAAAGTATGAAGAACCAAATGTTATGTTTTTTTTTTTAAAAAAAAATTATGTAATTGTTTTTGTCGTTCCGAAAAGGTGACGAATAAAAGATGAAATGAGGATGGAAGAATCTTTGGCATAACACTGAAATTTCCAAGGCAAAAGGAAGAAAATCTCGTAGAGAGGGGTGGCCCACTTCTCATGACCTTTTGTATGGTTCCTGCAAAAGCGCGTGGGCTCCACCTCCTCTCTCTCTCTCTCAAAGCATCATTACACTGAAGAAGAAGGAGGAGAAAACATTCGATCAAGACTTGAATGTATCTGCCTCCACGTCCTCTCTTGACTGACTTGGTCTCCTCCTTGGAAAAAACATGCACTCACCCTTACATGGGTACACAGACAGATACCTTTCAACCTCTGTTAATCACCATTCATCTCCTACCTATATATACACACATACATGTATATAAAGGCATCGCCTAAGAGTTCACCAACAAGTTCACACAGAACATAATTAAGCTTATAACTTGCAGAAACCTGTTGATGAGCGTCAATGGCGAAAGAGAATGAGCTACCGGGTTTCAGGTTCCACCCCACTGAAGAGGAGCTGCTTAGTTTCTACCTCAGGAACATGATCCATGGCAAGAGATCGTGCATCGAAGTGATCGGTTTCCTTAACATCTACCACTACGATCCTTGGGATCTACCTGGTATGCTGCTTCCGCTTCACAAAATCTTCCAGACACATGTCGTGTGATTGTGAGGTCTGATCCTGTGTGTCTTAAATTTCATGCAGGGCTGTCGAAGATTGGGGAGAGGGAATGGTATTTCTTCGTGCCGAGGGACAGGAAGCATGGCACTGGAGGGAGGCCGAGCAGGACAACTGCCAAAGGGTACTGGAAAGCTACGGGATCTGATCGTAAAATCGTGAGCTTGTCCGAACCAAAACGTGTGATCGGTCTGAGGAAGACTCTTGTGTTCTATCGAGGAAGAGCGCCTGGAGGGAACAAAACTGATTGGGTCATGAACGAGTACCGCTTACCAGACAGTTGCCCCTTGCCCAAGGTACCTTAGAAGATCTCCTCCCTGAATCTGTATACTCATCTGTGATCGGGCGATACTTGCACCCTTTCTTGCTTGTCTCACATCTCTTCACCTGAAATCCGCAGGATGTTGTACTGTGTAAGATATACAGAAAAGCAACTTCTCGGAAAGTGTTGGAGCAAAGAGCAGCCATGGATGAGATGGAAGGGAAAGCAAGCCAGACATACCCAACATCTCCTCTGTCATCGTCTGAGACAATGGCGTCCTGCGGTACACAGAACGACTTGATAGCTCACATTCCTACTCCTCAGTTACCTCAAGTGGTAGCCATGGAAGAAAATAACGAAATCTCGATCCAAGAAAGCCACGTAGAGAACGAGGAAGGCAAGGGTCCTTCCTCGTCTCTGAAGCTGCCCTTTGGAAGCTTACCCGAGCTGCAGGTCCCTAAATCAGGAACAGATTGGGGACAGGACCCGCTCTTGAGCATAAGCCCATGGCTGCAGAATCTTACCCCTATAGTTAACCTACTGAACTTTTAGGTACGTCAACAACAATGTTGCCACTCAGCCATATGATTAATTAACTAGGTCTTGATTCCATCCATCCCTCGCCTGTGAAGAACACCCACAATCTTGACCAGCTTCAATCTCGTCTCCACAACATGTATTGATCAGATTTATGAGTCATTGTAACTAAAATTCAGATGTGATATTATGTTACCAAGAGATATATATACACACAGCTTATTTTAACTGCAATGGCGAAAAAAGATCACAACTTTGAACACAGATATGGGCGACATCAGCAATTCTGGATTCATGGATAGGGAACAGAACTGTTCAAACTAAACCCCACAGGAATGTGAAGCCGATCGATCCACGAAGTGCCCAGAAAGAACTAATCTACATCGGATCAGAATCTCAAACACAAACCTATGCAGATCGATCAATCGACGTTTTGCAGAACATCCTCGGGCTGTGAACTTGTCCTTATCAACAGCTGAATGCCCCTTGGCTTTACGTTTCGAGCAGCCAATTCCGGTCCACTTGAGCTTGACGATGACGACCATGGAAGGGTTGACTCCGAGATTAACCGTCGACCCATTAGCTTTTACCTGCGAAATCCACTCGATGTGGATGTCCCACTCGCACCTCGTCGTCCTTCCGCACCGGAACCATTGTAACAACGATGAAGCTTTGGCAAGGATTCTCTCTTTTTTTTCTTTCTTCTTCCCCTTCTTCTTTGTGTTCCCAGATCTGATTCTCTTCTTATCCCACTGTTTCTCCTCCTATTGTGGTTAGGGTTTACCTGACCTTTTCATGTGTTGTTTGTTCTTCTATCGATTGGTCTGGTCTGATTTCCGCGGGAAAAAAATGTCGAAGGAAGAGAAAAATCGCAAGGAGATGAAGAAAAACAATGTCTCCCTCCAGCCATCCATATCGTGAAGTATTAAACTAGGGTTCCATATGTAACAAACAAAGTCAGTCTCGTACACTGACGCACGACAGTGAAGCACAAGAGCTGTCTTGTCTCTCCAATGGTGTGGTCAAGCCGCTCCTTCAGATCCGAAGTTATCTTCTTCTTTTTTTCACTCCTTCCCGATGCTCAGCTACATGAACAGTTTTGAGGGCGAAGTGAAGAATTTGCACATTGAATGGATTAAAAAAAAAAAAACTCATCCCTTGTGTGAACATATTCCCCAAAACCAGGAAAAAAAACAGCATGTTTCAGTTCATTTACACAGTTTCTTCACTAAGGAAAACTATCACAGCAATTATTACTTCCTTCGCTTCTCCTCGTCGCCTGAAAAGGAAGAAGAAGAAGAACCTCGGGGAAAAAAAAAAGAAAAAAAAATCAAGACCCTTTTCTCTTATCTTCGAGCGAAGCTGCCTCGTTCAACATATCGGATGCGTCGGTTTGCATGTTGAGCATGGCTAAAGCGACGGACTGCATATAAAAGGCAGTGGGCCAATCGGGATAGACGCACTGAGCTTGCATGGCGTCCCGGAGAGCTGCGTCCGGCTGGTCACTCAACAGATAGCATAGGCTACGCCTTGCCAATACAGTTGGCGACGCCATCGTTCCTACGTCTATGAACTGCAAGCAACAAAACAAAAAAATACATGTTTTCAGCAAAAGGAAAGAAAATGCAGATGAAGATGGAGATGCCATTGTTACCTGAGAGTAACAGTCGATGGCGGTCTTGAAGTCTTTGTCCCGGAAAGCATAGTCCCCGCGTTTCCGGGCATCCAGCATATCTTTTATCTGCTGCGTCCATTCTTGGAAAGATAACTGAAAGATGAGATCGGGTTTTGTTATTGATAAAACCCGAAAAATCGAGTTTTGATTTGGGTATTTGCGCGGGAGACGAGTGTTACCCGCAGATACCCCAATGAACACTAAATTGACATTTAAAAAAACTCGGATTTTGAATCATCGAGTCTATCGAAAATCTCGGGTTCAAGTTCAAGTAATCTGAAAATTCCGGATACTCGACCCAAACCAATCCATACATATTTTGTAAAAAAGAATTGGAAGTTTTGTATTTGAAACGTGGATTTGGGTACGCGAAGATAGTCGAAAATTATCACGGCTACCAGATCCGATATATTCGGGTAACACAAGAATGTCAAAGTAACCGACCCGTGCCCATACAAGAGTCTTGGGTCACGAGTATCGTAATCGTTACCTCGTTTGTTCCTTCATCGTCCCTGTAATGTGTCATCACCAAGATTTGATGAATTGCAGTGAGATCCATTCTTGAACACGCATCGCCCATTGGTGAAAGTCGACGCTGTGGGGTCGAAGGTGCCTCCTCGTGTTTTGTGATTCCGAGCATTACGTAAGACGGAGCCTGCAAACCCGAAAACCAATCAGAAACAGGAATGCAGTCATGCACGAACCGGGAGAAAACTTGAACACCCCGAACTCCGAAAAAAGGACACAAGCCTTCATACATCGGATTTAGTATGCAAAGGTGAAAGGGCCACGGAAAGATCCTTTGTGCCGGGCCTCTCTCGAGGCTCATACTGTAAACACCGAGAAGCAAGTTCAACGACAGCCGTAGCTTCTTCGGTGGAGAAATTTCCTTCGAGATGTGAATCCATCAATAGAACAATATTTTTCCCGCGTATCATGTCAATAGCCTATAACCAGATGATATCAACTGGTTAATTCCAGAACAATTTTCTCGCCCGTCACGAAAGCCAAACCCTCGGAAACGTTCTGCATTATGCTCTTTCGAGATAAGATGAAACCATGCAAAGTATGAAGCAGATACCATATATAAAGCCGGAATTCACAATGTATTGTGAACGAAAAGGGAAACCAATCCCGAAAGCTGCAGCTTACTACATAAGATATTGCAGGGCATGCGGAAATAACCGAGATCCCGAGAACTTATCACCACAAAGACAAGCTAAGCGTTGACTATGAAGCATCGGTCCATCTAGCGGGCATACGAGGAGAATATGCTTCGAGTAACTATCGAGCGGATTAAAAAGAACTAACAGTCCGATAAAGAACAAAAATGTGTCGATTTCTAGTCAAGTTTAGGAGACACGGAGAAGAAACAATGTCTTTGCGCAAACGCGGGTAAGGCTTACATGGCTCGGAGGGATGTGCTTTCCGCTAAGCAAATCAAGAAGGACGGTGCCGAAGCTGTAAATAACACTTTCAGCAGTCACTCTTCCTACAACACGAAGAAGATTTCCGATAATTAAACGGTAACCTTAATCTGTGCAGTATGAACAAGTTACTCCTTAATCTGTCGCTCTTCCTGCATCAAAATCATGAAACAAAGCACTTCATGCCAAAACCAGTGAATTGATATATACCGTTTCTTAGATATTCGGGCGGTGTATAAGCAAGATTCGTGCTGTAACTTTTACCGTCCCGGCTGTTCTTCATCAATCCAAAACAGGAAAGACGAGGATCCCCGTCCTACATTATCCACCGAGATTACAGTTCAACGTCCTAAACGAGCAAACTCGTAAAATACTTGAGCACGAAAATTCCTCGGGGAAGAGAATAACCTCGTCGAAGAGAACTCTGTAAGCATTCAAGTCATGGTACAATGGCCGACCCTCACTACTGCAATATCCAAGAGCTTCAGCAATGTAATAAGCTACACGTAACCTCAATGCCCATTCGATGGTTTGATTTTCCCCTGCAGATTGTATAAAGATGAATCTTCAGCAAGAAACTTAAACTTAATCGGACCTAAAAGATGCAAAACCCTAAAAATATTAGATGAAAGATCTACCAAAGCCATACAGTGAAACAAATGCTTAGCAAGTGTATCGTTTGGCATGAACTCTGCAACGAGAAGCCTTTCATCACCATCGCAGCAATACCCTATCAGGTTCGCCAGTCTCTTGTGCCTCAATTTCCCAACTCCCCATGCCTCCTCCTGAAAAACCCACTCGTGAATTTGCAGTCCCATGAGAAACCCACCAAAAAAGAAATCAATTTGACGGAATTTTCAGAAGAAAGAGATGAAGTGTACAGCGAACTGTTTAGGATCGGGCCAAGCCATCTTCGTGAACTTCTTCACGGCGATCCAACGGCGGTTCTGTAATCTGCCCTTGTAGACAAGATTTGGGGCTTTCTCGCCGCTTTCTGATACGATGTTGTCGGAGCTGAAGTTGTTGGTCGCCACCTTCAGGTCGGCGAAGGAGAACTCCGAAAACGACGGGACTCCGCCGCCGCCATTTTCGAGCCCACCGGCCGCCGACGGCGCGGCGTCATGGTGGTCCGCCGGTTGCTGCTGGTGCTGCAGGGATTGATCTCTCCGAAGCGAGTCTTGCCCTGAAAATGATGATAGACAACAACCCATGATTCTCTCGCACGGGGGGAAAGCGAGTTCACAAATGTTCTTCCTCTCTGTCTTCCTGGTTCCTCGTAAGTGGAAGATGAGAGAGAGTGGTGGAAAAATAAAAATCGGGTCTTTATTTATTTTTTTTTAAATTTCTTTGTACTTTTGTGGTTGGTTAGTTTCTGAGACCGTCTCCTAGTTGTCATTATGGTAGAATTAGAAAAAAAAAAAAAAAAAGAGAATACTGACAGTTTACGTCTTGCATGAGATTTTCTTACCTTTTAACACACATATCATCAAGAAACATTATTACATTGTTCATACTCCAAACTTAACTTCTGGATTCCTTAACAATAAAATGGCTTTCCAATTTCTCTCCCTTTTTTTTCCTTTTTTTATTGGCTCCATAATTTTTATTTTCATTCCTTTTGTTCTCTGCAGCTGCCACATGTCGCCACATGTCTTTAGAGATCAAACTAAACTCTCTAATATAAAATTAAATAAACTATAATATTTCGTTCTCATAATTTTTTTAATAATTCGAAAATTTATCAATTTTTTTCAACATCTTCCATTGCCTATCCCTCTATTTTGTGATAATTACTAATAATACGGTGTACCATAAACGTATAAAATATATTGAGCTTGATTGCCATTATATACATGAGCAGCTGAAGGTGGGTTTCGTTAAACCATTATACATTTCTGGAAAGGAACATTGCAGACATTTTGATGAAATCGACTACTATTGATCAGTTTTGGTTTTTGCTCTCCAAGATGAGTATTTATAACCTCTATACTCCATCTTGAGGGGTATTAAGGAGAAGAATTTCTCAACCGAAGTGTCGAAGTGTAGAAACGCGAAGACAAGAGCTTAAAGATGAAGAATTGGTTTAGTCGATTTCGCGTTATTTTTTGTTTAGATATATAATTTCTGGTTTTAACATTTTAGTGTCATTTTACCATTTTGCCCTTACTTCGAATTTTAGTTAGGCGCCCGTTGTTCCGATTGTATAAAAACATTTTTCTTCTTCAATTTGAAAGTATGAGAAAATTTCCACAAATTCTCTTGTTCATTTTCAATACCACTCGGACTATCACCATAGATCGTTTCCAAATAATCTTTCTCAAGGAATCTTCACATCTATTAGATTATATCAGTTTTTTTTTTATAATCTAACAATATTAACTCTATAGAAAAATCTCATTAAATACACACATTTATTATCTTTTGATATTAAAGAAATAGAGAGAAGGTTTAGGAATTTTCGGTTGTGTGTTCATCAAAATGAAAATATGGTGTCTTAAATACAAAGAGAGAAAGAAAGAAACACCATACAAAACCTAACCAACTAAACCAAACCAACATCAATTAACCAACATTTAACCATAAACATGTATTATAATATTATCTACTCTTAATTAGTGTATACATTTTACATCAACATCAACATCGCATTAATCCCAAGTTTATTAATTGGGGTCGGCCACATAATTTTTTTTCACTCATTTCGGTTTTGCGTCATATCCTTCGAGATTTGCAACACATTCAAATCATTTCGAATGACTTGTTCCTAAGTAAGTGTAGGACTATCCCTTCCTCATTTCTTCACTTCTATCCTTACACTTTCTAATTTTCTAATCAAAGTGTCGATTACAAAATGTATACATTTAAAATTCCAAAAAAAAAGATTATATGAACTCTTGATTAAAATACATGAATTTTACAAAAAAAAAAACTCATAAAAAATAAACGGAATTTTTAGATACTTCGAAAACAATTTACGTCAAATAAAACCGATATAAAAAAATTCTGTATATTTTTCTAAAATTTTTAAAATTCATGTATTAATTTAATACATAATAATTGCTAACAAGATTTATTTTTAATGGATAGATGTATTTCTTTCTTTTTTTTCAGAATAAAAAACTTTAGATATCGAACAAATGAGTTTCACGGAATGTCAGTTCAAGAACAATAATGTTCATCTGTTTTTTTAACTTTGCGTGGATGTTGTTATCCATAAGACAGAATCTATGGAGAGTACGGAGAGAGATTCAGCTTTACGAGATGGAAGGGCTGTTTGGGTTGAAAAGGCATCAAAAGAAATTCTTCATGCTGCTGTTGAATCCACTCCAAGATTCTCAAATTCAAATAGGGTTTTTGTCAGTTTTTCAATTGGCTTTTTATGATTAAATGCTCAAGCACTATCCCATTATACTGTCTTTTTTATATTATTATACATATACATAAATCAGTTTTAAATAAAATATATCATTTTTTTTATATGAATGCAACGATTGTGCGAAACTTGCGTATAAATATTCATAAAATTTTATCTAAATAATAATATTTTAAAAATTATATAAATTTTTACTGAATATTTTAAAATTTAAATATTTTAACTATTACTAATATCATTTTAGAGTGTATTATCGTTTAATATTATTATTTCAAAAAAATTGATATTATTTAAAAAAATCAAACTTAGTATTTTATATAAAAAGATTATAGGTTTACTTAAACTTGTATAGCTTTTTATTTTTATGAGATTGTTGCTAATAGACATCATTGGATTATATAATATGAAATGCCGGCTTATTGCTTTATATATTTTACTCTTTTTTTTTTTTTTTTTTTGCATGAGATGAGACGTCTTTCACGTTGATCATGTTTGGCACGGCAACTTTGAGGAACGAGGAAAACGCATTATTGGAATTTGGATTCCGTGTTTCTATTTATTACAAATGATTGATTACATATACCCTTTTTTTTTCCTCAATGACATATATCCGAATCGTTACACATTTCATGCGTTGCATAAACAGAAGAAAAATAAAATTATTTTATTGTTTTTAATTTGGCATTTAGACATTTTTTAACGAATCTATACGTACTAAACCAAATCAAACCAATTTAAACCAAATTCACAAATGCGTGCTTCAACACATTTTTTTAAAGACCAAAAAAAAAAAACTACGAAACCCTTTTCCCAAAGATTAAAATCTCACGTAGAATTTAAAGTGTTGCTTTCAGACAGATTCATCTTGTTCTTGAAAATCAATAATATTCCTGGGTTTGGATTTCTCCAAAACGTATGTATATACACCGAGCAAAATAAAAACACAGAAGGGGTTTACTTCATTGTATCATTTTCCTCGTCAGCATATCAGTGACTTGCGTCACCTCAAGAACTCAACCAAAGGATTATGTCATTTATATATATATATGCTCATTTCCTGAATGACGATCTGGTTTTGGAAGATGGCATGTAACCTGTAACCACAAACCCGAGAACCCGGCTGTTAAGCCCGTGCCGCCCTTCCCATTTCCCGGCCTCTGGAATCATCTCGATCCGTGCTCCTTCCCCATTGCTCGAAAAAACACGGTAACTGTATATATACGTATTTCCTTCCTCAAAAACCGGCCTTCGACCATTGGAACCAGGGCCGAGCCTCGAATTAAGATGTAACAGGCACAAGAATCTCTTCATGGCCATCATACCATATAGGCAATCTGCATATCGTCAGATCTCTTACCGCTGAAACTTATCAGTCTCCTCCGGGCTCTTGCGAGACGCTTTCTTCTTCTGCCCGCTGCAATAGATCCTCGTATACTCTCGTAGATTCGGCCGAGAAGCTCTCCATTGCCTCGAAAATGCGCTGCAGACTGCCCTGCAGACTGTCGTTGCTCGTGTCGCTCTGGTAGACAACGTTACCGGATAAGGAGAGGTTATTATTCCCTTCTCCTGACGCCACCAGAACCATTTTCTTTTCCAAGGCTTGGATCTCTTTCTGTATCTTCTGTTCTTCCCGGTCCAAGTTCCTGACCCTCTTCTCCAGATCCCTGTTATCTGCCGTCATCCTCTCCTGAATCTCGAGCCTGTCTTGCTCCCAGAGCTGGAGCACGCTCGTGGTGAAACTACGCATAGCCTCGATAACTTCCTTCTCCGATATTCTGTCCAAAGCTTGAGACCACTGATTACAGATCACGAAAATCGGGGGAGCCCCCATCCGACCAGGTGAAAAAGGGGCGATTCCATCAGGCGTTTCTTCGGGTTCATAGAGAAGACACTTCAGAAGCCAGTTATTCAAGGCTTTTACGTAGCCCTTTTGCGCGATGACCCAACTCGAGAATCCCAAGATCCAGTTAATAAGTTCATGTCCAAGCATCCTCGTGGCCTCGAGATGATCATCACCGAGTTTCTTGCCAGATTTAATCGGGCCTAAACCTCTAGTTTCCCTAATGGCTTGGCATTGACTCTGATGGCATTCAAGCATCGATTTCCACATTCTGGTAAGCCTGAAAAGGGAAATGAAATCAACATCTGATAGCGATGAGATCGTCATATAAAAAACACAGCCCCAGTCCTGTTAAGCTTACCCTTGAATCAATTCGTTCAGTTGAGGCCATAGCTCTTGGTCTCTTATCTTGTTAATTGTCACCGATATTTTGTCGACAACCTGGATCGCAATCCTTATTTTCATGGACAAACTCCTGACCAAAGTTCGGGTTGAATCTACTTTATGAGCCTCGGCACCCCTTTCGTCCAATCGCTTCAGCTTCCTCAACTTTCTATCATGGGCTACTCGCAATTTTTCCTCGGCCTGGACCAGAGGAAGCATCATGTAAAGAAAGAACTACTAGTTTATAACGTTTCAAAACATGAAACAGGACACATCTTGATGTCTGAAACAGGGCATGTATCAGATCAGAAGAAACACACCTTGACTTCATGGTGAAGCTTCTTCTCCCAGAGGTGGAGCTTGTGCAATGTCGACGAGAGATTTCTTGACCTCGAAGCAAGCTCCTCCTCGATGTCCAAATACGTGGGCCCAGCCGAAGAAGATGCTTCGGAGTTCCCAGAGGTAGAGGGCTGAGATGAAACCATCGAGAGGGACGGAGTGACTCCGAGCAACAACTTGGATGCAGCTGTTCAAAAGACGAAATCCACGGGCCATTTTTTTTAGCCAAACAGAACCTGAGATAATACCCTAATAGCTAAAGACAATAGAAATGCACATTCTGTTTCATCTTAGGACAGACATATTCGTACTTCAGCTGCAGAAGTTATTTACGGTTACGAGCATGATTATCCCCTAAAATGACACATGATTACT